ATCAGTGCTTAAGATGTTTTGTCCCACTGGTCAGTGCTTTGGTGTACAGCAAATGCACGGAACTAAGGGGCAAAATGAGACAAGAGTGTGGGGCAGCCCTTGAAGTGCAAATGTTAGGATATCAAGACCCTGCTTATTTTTTTCATACTTTCTTGAAACATGTAAAACTTGTATGTAGAAACCAGAGAGGTGTGCTCTGTTGATTTAGGTGTGAAATTGAGGTAATTCTTCATGCTCTGAACTCTTGTGATCAAGAACTGGGATCACCTTGGCTGTGCTTATAGTGGGATCGGTGGTCTCTAAGCAAATGAGTGGGTAGACAACCAGAGATGACAGAACTTCAGCAGTGCTTCCTCTTTTGATGCTCTAATAGTAAGCAAGCTAGATAGATGATTGTATCTTAAACAAGTACATTTCAACATTTTTTGCATTGTTCCAGTGATGCAAAATAGCAATTGTAAGCCCACTGTAGCTGTTGATACTTTCCAATTGTTTTGATGTCCTAGAAAACCAGCCCTTAAAATCGAAGGTTTACAGTTGTTGTGGTCTGTTCCTTTTATTTGTTTAATTCTTGTTTGGTATATTTCTCTCTTGAGTTTCAATGTTTGTTCTATTCATACAGAAGCTACGAAAATTCTGAGCTAGAATACTTAAGAGTGTCAAGGTTTAGAGTAGATAGAAGAATAAAAACTAAGTTATAACATAAGACTTAACAATGGCTATACCATCTCTGACCATAACAGTAACCAGGATCTAATTTTGCAGTGTCCTGTACACATAAAGCAGCCCAATTGACAGTTCAAAGTAAATGGTGTGATAAAATCATGGATCTTCTGTGCTTGATGAACGCTCTGGGATTTATCTGCTCAGTGTCCTAACAAAGAGTGTTTGTTTCTGACCAGCTGTTACAGTGATCATCAAGGATGATAGAAGTATTAGGGCAGTTTCCCGCTGGTGACTGGGATCAGTGGTCACTCTATGGCCTCAGTGCTACAGGAATCCCTGTAGCTACTGCCCTCGTAGATGCTTATTCATGAATTGGGTTTTCTTCTTATCGCCTGGATTATGACCCATTCTAATTATGTAACCTCAAGCATTTCATCCCATACAGACAGGCTCAGGAAAGTAGTTGGGGTTTTTTGTTTGGTTTTTTTTTTTAATGTCATTTTGCTGTCTGACTTTTATATGACTTTAGTTTTGCTGTGAGGTTTCAACTTCTTCCCTTTGAAAGGAGTGGTATTTTTTTTAATATTTTTCTCAATCTATGAGAAGTAAAGAGCCTTTCCTCTGATCTGTCCTTTCTGCCTGTCATACTTCATTATCCACGTCAATTAATTTACATGTCTCTTCCTGGGTTTTTTCCTCCCTGTGTTCTCTTCTCTGTCTCAAATTCTGTCTGTTTTGAACTTTTTCTGTTCACCCAGACTTACCAACTATTTCTGTCCCTTGCTGTGATTCTTACCTCTTTTCAAATGAAGGTCTGTAGCTTCTCATAGTCTTGGCACTAAATTCTTTGTTTGCAATCCACATTTTCTCTCCTGTAGATCTATTTCATCAGCTGTGTATCTTCTGCTCTTGGCTTTCTAATCTGTTTATCCCTTTCCTATGTAATCAATTTATTTCCCTTACAAAGTGCCAAAACCAAACCAATCCTGAATAGAAGAAAACTCCATGAATTTTGAGACTGTGTTTAGAAAGAACATTTTACTGCTGCTTTTGGGAGAGGAGGGTCATTCTTTAAAAAGTTTGTCTTGTAACATTGGAAACAAATCTCTTATTCATAGGAAAATTATTCTAACTCGAGTTTTCTGAGATGCAGTGGCCTCTCTGTAGATAGTAACCATGTAACAACACACACAGCTCCCTCCTGCTTCCCAGTGCAAAATGTACATGGTTTTGTGTTATGGTAAATATAGACTGACTTAAAAAATCGCTTACCCTTATAATAGGTAAATGCAAAGCAACCTTTGGATTTTAAATGGTAGAAGGAGAGAACACAGGTTGTACCACCTTTGAGTAAATGTGACATGTAAGATTCTAGTCCCTACTTCTCTGTGTTTCCTCCACCAGTATCTACTACTGCCAGTCTGGTCACATGAGTTTATCAATCCCTCTCATTGTCAGAGAATGTATGGCCTTTCTGTCTGTTTTAAAATATTCCTTCTTGGTCTGGACAATTTGATTCATTCTTTTCTCCCCATCCCCCCCACTTATCTGATGGTCTCTGCATTTATCACCCTGGCCTTCAGTTTATTTAAAATCTGATTTTATTGCTTAGAGGGCATAGCTGTTTTGCTTGTAAGGAAGCAGATCTTCCCTCTTTCAGGCATTCATTATGCAGATTGGAATAGAGCTAGGTTTATCTGTTCTACCTGTTTATCTTGTTAACTCTTATTGCTAGAGAAAGGAGTAAGCAGAGTAGCTCCTCTTTTCTCTCATTTAGAGGCAGCA